TGATGGTAAAAATGACCTTCTGTATCTTTCTTTGTTACAGATCAGAAGCATGGGTCTTTTACTTTGGACTGATGTTTTTATTTGAAGGAACAAGGGATGTTTTTTGTCTAAAAAGATGGAATTAATTTTCTTAGTGCAAGCTGTTATGTATAGTTCATCCAAGTAGGGGAATGAAGATGTTGAAATTTTACATGCTTTCCGTATTACCTTGAACCTATCAAGGCACCCCAAAATAGCAGGTCACAAGAGAGTGACAAACGTACAAAAGAAGTACAGGAAAATGACAATAGTAAGGATCAGGAAAGAAAAAGCAGCAGTTCCCTGTCAGCCCATTTACAATTCTACTGTGCTTGAACGAGAAATGTCCCCCCTTTGGGAATGGCCTAAAGACACTACAGTCAGTGGCACTGCCCCGGGGGGTAGCCACTGTCTCCGTTCATAAGTGTTTCTATATTACAGAAAGACGTGACAAGTTCAGAAATTTGATATCACTCTGATAACCTTTCAGTGTAAATGTCAGAAGCCTGAGACTTCTGTCAGGAGACACATATCCAGTGTTCGAACTCATGAGAGTACAAGTCTGATATTAAAGATTGGTAAACTATACAAATGAGCAAAAGGTGGTTTATATAATGATAAATGAAAGGAGTATGAAAGAACATGACATAGAAAGAATGGCCTCTCTCAAAAACAAACCCCAATAACAATATGGTTCCTTTGGAATAAAAATGAGTTCCTATGCTTGACCTTGCCTTATGAAAATGATTAAAAACCATTATAGCTACATATTTCTTTGCGACAGTAATGAATATGTGATGCATCTATTTGTTTGAATATGGAACCTGAAATCTTCACTTTTTTATAATGAACCTAACACTTGATATATCAATGTCTGTTTTCAGTTCTCATGAACAGCTGTCTGGTATGGTTTAAAGTCCTGCTAAGCAATTCATACATCATTTCCACAGAGGAGAACTTGCCAAGTCAGTAAGAGTAAAGACAACAGAAGAAAAAAGACAAGAGGAAACAATAAACTATATTCAGGATAAACATCACATTTGTATATCTGGTCATAGAAGTCTATGCATGATATCATTCCATCAGTTTAGAGTTTTCACCCCCTTCTGGTGTACAGTGGATCTATATTTTATTCCCACCCAGACCACAGGTAGGTTACTCAGGGTTAAGAGTTGTAAACCAAACACAGGACTAAATAAAGCACACAGAAAAAAAAAATCGAAACTCAAACGGAGGTAGCAACGGGGTAACGCAGGCAAACTGAAATACATTTATGCATTGGGAGAAGGCTGATTTCTGGGGATTTCAAAAATAAAGCTTTAAACAAAACTCATGAAATTTTGGCTTGTCAAGAGTAAGCTGAAAGCAAACTCGCATCTTTTGAGTGACAAGCTTAAAACAAAGCTCACGTCTTTTGAGTAAACTTTAAGCAAAAACTTACTTCTCCTTGGTTCACCAAGAGTAAGCTTGAAGCAACTCACATCTTTCAGGATATTCAAAATTATGCTTCAAGCAAAACTCACTTCTTCCACTTCAGGGGCAAAAAAAGGAAACTACTTCCAAGTCACCAGGTCTATAAAGGCAAAGCCAAAACAATACTGCAGGATGGCAAAACCCCCACTAGAACTGCTCTTTGGCAAGTGAAGAAAAAGCTTGAAGCAAATGAGTTCTCTACCTGTGAGTTTGTCTAAACAATCGCTGCTTGAATTTGGCGGTGGGGGGCCTACGGAGACACAAGCAAGCCAGCTAAAGTACGTCACGAGAGCATGAGGCCAGTGATTAGTCCTTAAGTACCACAGAATTACTCATGTGTTTAATCAAATGAAGGAACTATCAGTAAATATCTACTCCCTCAATCTGCAGTTTTGCACACGCAGTTTAACATACGACCCGTGAAAACTTCATGTTTGTCACTCAGATCACATTGGTGGAAGTGGCTGTTCCAGTTATCATGTGGTCAGTACTAGATGAGTCAGTGTACGCATTTGATGATAGTACTGATGATGATGGCAATATGAATTCAAGTTCAAGAACACGAAGCATTTCACCACCAAACATATTTCTATGTGTTACTTAGACCTAGGAATATTAGTTCAAACAAATAAAACATCAAGCAAAAAATTTCTCCTGCAAGATCAGGCCAAAGGGCTCAAACTCAGATGGTCGCTGGAGCAGAGAAGCTCCAGAAAGTTCAGCTGTTAAAAAATGCTGTATTTTCAATGCCAACTTCTGTTCTACATCCTTACAACCCTAACACATTATACAAAGTGTTGATACGTTTTGGACCACTTGAAATAAAAAGATGAGATAAACTGCAAAGCACTCTAAAAAGATGGCAGCACCATAATATAGACAAATAAAAGAAATAAAAATCAAATTTCACTTTTTACCCTAATGAAGGATGCTCCTGTACAATGTCCATATATAAGTATTTGTACTTTACAACATACACTTTGGCCATTTTTAAATACTGCTGACTGTGACTGACAAATCTATTAATCTATCTTTTACAAATATTTATCTGTAAGGTTTTGTAAAGTTTAAACAAATTTCCAGTGAATGGACAATAAAGTTCAACACTTTTTCTTTTTTCAAGATGGTGCAATGTTCAACATAGCTAAAAACATATTGAGAGATACAGTGCTATGAAGCTATTAGTTCTAAAATCATTGGAACTATTTTCCTAAAATCTGGGGGGGTGCTCTCCCATCTTACAAAAGAACATGGTGCTGTATCATGCCATATGAATATGAGCTAGCAAAAGTGTGCACCTAAAGTTCATTAAGACCATCACAAGTTTATTCATTTGTTTCTAAAGACAAATGCCTGACTTCGATAATATTTCCTCTCATAGCAAGGACGGAAATAGGATTAAAAGGATTAATGAAAACGTATAAGAGGATGAACATAAGTAGTGGCCAAAAATTATTCAAAGCACATGAAACCAACTGTTTGCTTTATTTTAATAGTTTTAGTTTGTTCATCATCATAAAGGAAAAGTGAGAGTAAGGCAACAACTAGGGCGAAGACACAGCTTACCCTCTCTCTAGAGACTGGTCGTAGAACTGACGCACGCAGAATGGACTTGGGTCTGTTGCATTCTTCGGAACATGTTTCCTGCAAGTGAGAGATAGAGCATTTGATGTCATCAAAGAAAAACAGTTGTTTTTTTCTTTATTCCAGAGAGAAAGATAGAGGTTTTTGATGTTAAAACATACAGATAGAGTCTCTAATGACATTTTACCACAAACAAATCTTTTCCCAATCTTTCATTAATGGTGGGTGCCTAAATGAAGCTCAATATCAGGAGGAAAGAAAGAGACGAACACAAACAAACTCTATCTTATGTGTGTGGGTAAAAAAATGTTTAATACAATGACACTTCCATGACAACTGACAGTACAAATGAGTAGATAGAGAAGCTTATAATCTAATTATCTCTTTCCTATGCTGAGTTTGGGGAGGGGGGGGGGATGGAGTGGTTGAAGGAATTCTTATGTCCAGATTAGCATAATAGTATCAAGTATCTAGCAGTATTTCATTACTTGATACCCCTGAAGTAGCACGGTCGAAAGAGTTTAGTGGAAAATACCACCCAGATCTCCACTGAAAATCACTGTAATCACATTTTTAAAAAACTTAACACTAAATACTGAGACGGCCATTGCTACAACTGTGTTCTCCCAACTCACCAGCCACACTGAGACAAGTAGATCTGGTACATCTCGTCAAAGGCAGATAGCTCTGCCGGCCGGTAGTGTTCGTAAAAAGCATTGACGTGCTCGTCTGTCTGAGGAGCTGTGATGACTGCTGCATGGATGGCCTCAGGTTTTGCCACTGGATACAGAGATTGCATTATTTGTTAAGAAAGATATTCCCACCTAATGTTATTTCACATTAAGAAAATGAAAACTCTACAAGTATCTCTATTAAACTTGTTAAAAACGCATGACAGTTCAGCTGGCCTGACTATCTAAATGTGGTGAACCCAGTCCTTAGAAGAGATTGATTTATATAATTGTGTCCATGAATAAGACACTTGAACAATTTTTTTTTCCTTTCATTTCTTACTCATGTAACAGATTTGTGTGACATTTTGCTTTAAAATGAGGGAAATAAGAACGAGAGGGGTGCTTTACTTCAATACAGGGTAAAATGTATTAACACGACTACTCTGCACCTAAACTCAGCTTTAACATTTCAGGACCTCAACTCAGTGAAACATATCAGCACCCAGTACAGCGAATTAGTTCAACAATCATAATATCATATTCAATAGAATTTTTACGCAACAGAACTTTCCTTGCCAACTAAAGCATCATTCTCTGATCTGTCCATCATAGGGCAGAACTTAGTCTCACCTTCATCATGCGGGAGAGGTAAGCTCTTCCAGGCCTCAGAGGTCCACCACTGGCAATAGCTGAAAGAACAAATAGAAACACAGAAAAGTATAACAGACTGGTAAACTTACCTCAGGGTATTACAGAGGGAAAAGAAAGGTTTGTACACAATATTATACTGTATAACAGACTGGTAAACTTACTTCAGAGTATTACAGAAGGAAAAAGAAATATTTTTACACAATATTATACTGTATAACAGATTTTTGGGGGATTTTAGCAAAGGTTTTACGGTGCTCGTAACTGCATAAGGTCATATGAGCGCGGATACGCATGTTTCCTCCCCAGAAGATTTGTCTAAACACCAGTATCCTCCTCCACATAACCTGTAGCCGTCGGTGGCATGGCCGTCAGTGAAGATATCGAGGTCGGACGTAGGCACTGTGGGCAATGATGTAACGCGAGATGCACAGCACTGGATGCTGATATGTTTCACTGAGTTGAGGTCCTGGAATGTTAAAGCTGAGTTTAGGTGCAGAGTAGTCGTGTTAATACATTTTACCCTGTATTGAAGTAAAGCAGCTCTCGAGACTGTGCGCCGATTGCCTACGTCCGACCTCGATATCTTCACTGACGGCCATGCCACCGACGGCTACAGGTTATGTGGAGGAGGATACTGGTGTTTAGACAAATCTTCTGGGGAGGAAACATGCGTATCCGTGCCCGCGGGACTATACGGAAGCAGCTACCGAGCTGAAACTACTGCCCTGCTCCGCGCACTGCAATGGCTAGAAAAACAACCACGTTTTCAAAGAATCCACATCTTCACAGACTCCCAGTCAGTTGTTCAACACTAAATGTCCGGAGTGACTGCAGTTCGTACTGAGATAGAGGACAAAATGTGGATCACTATCTGCCAATGCTGTGAAATCCACGGACACCTTCACATACAATGGATACCAGGACATTGCGACATCTACGGGAACGACAGAGCTGACGCCCTGGCCAACAAGGGAGGCCGCCTTGACCAGTCCAACACTCCAGTCGATATTGCGTCAGCAAGCTCGTGCATCTCGCGTTACATCATTGCCCACACATGGGAGAAAGCGCAACTGCACGACTCCGTCGGGGGAAAGGTGAAGCCACCACCGGAGAGGGACAAAGAGAAGGACCTTACCGTCAGACAGAGAAGAGAGTTATCGCAGCTAAGATGCAACGCAAAGAGCCCCATCCTACAGACATATCTCCATGCAATAGGCTCCGCTCCCAATGATTCCTGTCTGGCGTGTGGCACAAGTCCTGACGACCTGCAGCACGCACTGTATGAGTGCCCCCGGGGGGAAGCACATCGAGGCCCACTTATGGAGAACAACGCGAGACCGGGCCCGGATGTACTCTGGACGAGGCCACAAGAGGTTGCCGCTTACCTGTCTGCCTGCTGTCTGCCTGCGGCAGACTGCCGCCCTCCTGCGGAGGCCAGCCAGAAGAAGAAGAAGAAGAAGAAGCGCCACAAGATTAGAGGTGTTACAAGAGAGTAACAAACATAAAAAAGAAGGAGGGGAGATAAGGGCGATAGATGTTTGATAGGAAAGAAGAAGCAAACCACACCAGAGCACCCGCCAACCACCCACTGTATAACAGACTGGTAAACTTACCCCAGGATATTACAAAGGGAAAAGAAAGATGTTCAGACGTAATCATACTGTCATCAGTTATCTTACCGAACTCATAGCTACAACAGAAGCAGCAAAGTCAACAACAACAGCAACAGCAGCAAGCACCGTGAATTTTTGCTACGAGCTATAATATTTTAAAATACAAATACAGTCAGGCGCAGACAACATGAACGTGGAAAACTCGAAATCACAGATAGCTTGTACAATTTTCCATTCTCCGACTGATATCTCTTTAATTTTTCATTATACTGGTTACCTGAATCACAGAATGTGTTGACCCCATTCAACAATCCCCAATGTGTTTGGGTTCTCCCTGCCTGACTGAACAAGAATGACAAAGGTAACAGAGAACCCAATCTAGAGTAAGGTTCTCTCTAATCAAAGACAACTCTTTTTTTTTAAAGAATACCATCTACTAGAGATAACAGAGTCAGGTTCGGACCTCATCAGCTTCATGCAGAATCCGTCCCCCTTTCGAGGCAGCACAAGGCAGAGAAAAGTCAGGAACAGATACTACACTTTGATCTTGGCCAAAAGGCAGAGAAGCAACAAATCAAAGACACTTGTATACCACCTCTGGGATGCGAAGGTAGTAGGGGAAGAGATAGGGAGAAGGGAGAAAGAAATAAAGGAGGGAAGAAGAGGAGGAGGATAAGACATCTTAAGCATTTTCTGTTCTTACAGGCCTATCCTTCATAAGCTTTTAACGTTATTATTATTATTTTTTAAATTATAGTTGTTTTGTGCCTATGTCTGAATGAAAATAGTGTGTGTGTGTGTGTGTGTGTGTGTGTGTGTGTGTGTGTGTGTGTGTGTGTGTGTGTGTGTGTGCATAAATATATAATGCATGAGAAGAAAGAAAGTAGTGAGAAAGGTTTTGAAAAATGGGTATTCCAATGTAAAGCGCATTGAGCTACTTTTTTGGAAATGCGCTATATTAATGTTATATATTATTATTATAAAAAAAAAAAAAAAGAAGACAAAACTCACTGGTTCTTGGCCGACTTTTGTCCTAAGGAGATTTTGTTGTGCAGGTAGAAGTCGGTGGGCAGGTCCCACAGGTTAGGCTGACCCTCCACAGGGACAAACACACCGAGGAACAAATTAAACGCCTGCTGTTTCTCCACATCTGAAAGTCATGCAGAATTATGAAATACATGGTGGGTGGTGGGATGGTGTTCTGGTGTGGTTTGCTTCTTTCCTATCAAATATCTATTGTCCTTGTCTCTCCTCCTCCTTTTTCTGTGTTTGCTACTCTCTTGTAACACCTCTAAATTTTCAGCACTTCTAAGACATATATGTGTTGCAAGAGCTGTAAAACTCTTACTAAAATACTAAAACAAATGAAATACATACAAAAGTACACATTACTACGTTCTTTGATGTATAATACACAGAAAATTACACACAATTAAGTCCTTTTACAGAGGCTTATAATTATATCATTTCATGAGCAACACACACACACACACACGTGACTTGTTCATACAGTTCAGTCCAAAAGGCACTCAGACTGCCACAAGGCACTCCGACTGCCACAAGGCACTCAGACTGCCACAAGGCACTCAGACTGCCACAAGGCACTCAGACTGCCACAAGGCACTCAGACTGCCACAAGGCACTCAGACTGAACAGCAGGACTTGACAAAAACCCATGTTGCGCCTAAAATTGTATTTGTTCTGGCTGTTTTGAGTTTGAATTTCAAAAAAATATTTCTTGAACACAAGTGACTGATACCAGAGATTTAGAAACTGTAATTTTTTTTTTTTAAATTTGGGGGATTAGTACATGTACATTTTAACAACTAGCTGATGATATTTAGGTTTCTGATACTCAATATTTCTCCTGAAAACACACTATCTATCTCTAGGCTGGTCAAAGTCTGGCTTGACAAAGTCCTGCTGAAGGCCAACATTGTGCAACTCTGTGGAAAGCAAAGCCATAATACCAAGGCAGCATTTGCATTAGGGAATACTGAGTCACCTGAGAATGCATTGCTGTAATATCGAGACAGCGTCTGCATGATATCACGGCTGTGGGAGGTCCATGGGGCAATCTTGCGGTAGCTCTTGATGCGGTGAACCAGCTGACTGCCTCCGTACTGAAGAGCGACGGTGTCACCGTGATCCTCATACAACTCCTCCAGCATCCTGATAGAGGACAGAAAAGAAGCTCTTAAAGTTACACATATCTATTATGTTTTCATAATCTGTTTCCTCTTACGTGTGCACCTTTGGCAGACCCATAGAGTTCAAATATTTAAAAAAACAATAGTACCTCTAAGCATGGCTCAAGTCTCTCAAACAGAAAGCATTTTCAAAATGCCAGTAAGGGGGTTTGGATAACTGCAGACAAGTTGGGGTTTTAATTTTTACCAAATGTGAATCCACTCATAGGCACAAAAACAAACCTAAATTAAGCCATGAGAACACCCCCCCCCCCCCCCCCCCCCCCTCTTCCACAAACTTCCGTCACTTCCACAAGTGGGCAGACAACAAAACCAGAATGCGTCGAGACAGAGGCCATAAATAAGACTCCCATCACCACAGATAGTAATTTACAACCCTCTGAAATTGCCAAACAAGATTAACTTGGCTTACCAAGACACATCTTATTTTGCAAAAATATCAGGAGGTTCTCAAGAGAGTGACAACAAAAGAGTACTCCACTCTGAGGAAACTGTGACCTTTAAATTCACATTCTGCCTCGTAATAATCCCATTCTTATAACAATAGACAAACTAGCCAAGAAAAGCATTTTGTTTGCACCATGACACTGAAGATAGTTCATTTCATTCAAGAGTAAAAATTCTAAAACCTTCTCTGGCGAATGTATTTTAACCTTTTCGCCGCACGGCCCTCCAAGTTTTTCACACCACTTCGGTGCTTAGCGCTCCTCTTTGATGCACGCTATTTCACAACCTTTCATGACGCCACGCTCCACCCTGGATTCAGGTACTTGTGCATGCAACAAAAAGTTTGCCTTTTCACTTTTCACTTTCAAACTTTCAAAAAAAGTAGTCAGATACCATTTTGGAACTGTTTCTTGCTGTCAGAATTTGAGCTGCTTGAACACATTTCAATTTACAGGCGAATTTCTGAGGTCATGTTTGAGAGCAATCCCGAGATGTTTTACATTCGCTGAAAGTTGTGGCGCTTAGACCGACGTTGAGAAGACTCACTCTCAAAGGAGTCACAGGTCCTATCTACATAGAAAGATCCGATGATGAAGATGATGTTGAAAGGATGAGGTTACTATGCCGGTTGACAATAAAGCATACCGTTAAATTTTGCCAAAGAAGCAACCAGTAGTGAATCAAGTATACGTGAGATTAGAATGCATAGACAGTGATGATGAGAGGATGGACCATAGGACTGACCGGTTGTTGAAATTACGATATGGCGACGGATATACTGTAGAGCTGTAAAGGAGAGTATAGAAAGACAAAAAAAATTAACAAGAATATTTGAAGATAAAATTCTGTGGGCTCGAAACACAAACAACTTTCCCCATATTTCTCAGTTTACTGGTATTCAGTGAAATCGAAGTCTCACAACCCAAACCACCGTTAGCATCCGATATTTACTGACTGGTCATTACAGAGGAGTTGATAAACTTTTTGAAAACTAAAATAAAACAATAAGATGGGAAAGGGACCAATGGCAAAGATCTGCAAACCTTGGCAAGTCGTTTACGTAGCAAAACCAAGAAACTAGATAATCTTGTAGAAATGGAATGATTCTTTGTTATCTATTTTCGTTCACATCAGGGTATACTCAAGATACTGACTCTCTGCGACAACTGACCTGGAAGCCCAGGCTTGCACTCATCTTTCTGCTGAATAATGATGTACGTGTAAAGAAAAGGGTCCTTGACAGTTCTCTCTTCTCGTTTCATATGTCAAACACCATAGCACCAGTGCACTACGGAGAGCTTTACCATGACATTAAAAAAATGAAGCCATTTAATTTATACGGAATCTACAAAAGAAAGTTTTTTTAAAACTTGTGAAAACCATAACAGGACTTTATATTGACGAAACCATGGTGTATTTCAAAGGCCGTTCCTGATCCAAGTTCAGATAAACCCACCAATGAAGGATTCAACCTAAGTGAAGTGTGCGAGAGAAAAGCGGGGCATGTTCTCAAAGAGAGTCAGTAAGCTGACAACAACACCACGGATACAGAACCTTTAGGCGGCAGTAGGAAACGTGCACAGGAAAGGTGTGCAGAGCTGGAATGTCAGCAGTGAACAGAAAATACCAAAAGAAAATTACACTGCACTAGGGCTCAAACTGCAAAGTTACACTCTACCCTGGCTGTTTTGAGGTGTACAACTCAACTCTGATCCGAAAGAAGCAGCAGACTCAACCAATGCTTGCGTATATTGAGCTGTTCATACATCTGCTCACAACACCACCTTTTTCATTTGTTCGGTTGAATTTTCTGATAATTTTCGTTGAATTATATCTATCATGGATTACGCTTGTCTGAACTCTTTGAAGAAAAACCATTGAGCTGTTTAGTGTGTATATCGGGGTGTAAAATTTGTTTTGAAAACTTCATTTTTTCAGCCTCAAAAGCTCTTTTGTACTGTTGACAACTTTAGTCAAGGAAAGGGAATATGGTCCAAAAATTATGCCTGTGTCGACAAAGAAATGTACTTTACTTTGACACCAAATACAAACGTCTATGATTTAAAACAACTGAGATTCATATCTTTGAAAATACCCAAAAATTGTGTGTTTCCAGGGAATAGCGCACATAAAATAATGGCGTTCTTAGGGAATGCGCACCGTGAAAGCCGCATGATGCGAAAAGGTTAAAAATGGAAAATTAGAGGCTAGTACTTCAAGGGTGGAGCCAGTCTGTCATATCAGAGTTAGAGGGAGAGCCCCGTAACTCAGCCTTATCCCACAGTACACATACAGCACAACTTTCAAACGTGTCACAACTCCTAGAAGAGGAACAACTAGACAAAAAGAAACAATATCCTTTTTTTACATTGCTCAAACTCATGTGGACAACACAGTTTAAGCCTAGTATTCAAGGTGGAATTTGATTTGAGCAGAAAATAATCACATTGACACAATAATCGTTACTTAGTGCTTGGAAAGAGCAAGACCGACAAGGAAAACGAAGGAACAGAAAAGAAGTAAGACCTACCTGTGGCACCCTCAGACCACTTGCAAGATTAAAACAAGCTAAAGTGGCGTGAACATAATGAGAGAGAGAGAGAGAGAGAGAGAGGGAGAGAGAGAGAGAGAGAGAGAGAGAGAGAGAGAGAGAAAGAGAGGGGGAGAGAGAGGGGGGGAGAGAGACAGAGAGAGAGAGAGAGAGAGAGAGAAAGAACAAGAGCAAGAGAAAGAAAGAGAGGGAGACAGACAGAGAGAGAGACAGACAGAGAGACGGACAGAGTGGGAGAAAGAAAGAGAGACAGACAGATGGAGAGATATGTTTTGTTTTTCTAAGTGTTTTACGGCGCTCGTAACTGCGTAAGGTCATATGAGCGCGCGGACACATTAAACTTTTTCAGTTGGTAGGAAATTTTGAATTTTGCCCCGGTGGCGGCCGAAGCCTACTCTTATCGATTTTAGACCACCAAGGGATCTTTAATGTGCGCAACTGGCACACGGGCCCTCCAAGATTTTTCGCCCTTGTTCGAGAAGGCTAGGTGTAGATCTTTCCTACCAGAAGATCAGGGGTGTGGCTGAAAGACAGCAGTAAGAAGAAGCCAAGGAGTAGCAGTAGAAAAGCTGTAGAAAGAATCAAGAGCCCAGAGGATGGGGGGCAAAGGAGATGAGGGAGTAGGGGCAGAAAGAGGAGACGAAAGCAGACGACAGAACATTGCTAGAGAGCAGGAAAGGAGATGAAAGGAGACAAATTTAGAGAGGAAAATTTTTCTGTCACTACCCGGATTCGAACCCGGGACCTTTGAATGAGAGGCCAACATCTTAACCTCTAGGCCATGAGAGCCCCCGATGGAGAGACAGACAGACAGATTCATAAACAAATACACAAAGAGTGAAATAGAAGAAGAGAGAGATAAGCAAGCAGGCAGAAATACAGAGAGAGAGACACATAGGAAAAGACAAAGGAATGAAAAAAAAAAAAATCACACACAATGGGGTGTACAGGTCTAGGAACATAAGAGGGTGAAAAACATTTATTGTTTCTCTTTTGGTTACTTACTTCACACAATCTGTGTCAAATTCTAAGTGTGGCTTCTCCAGGACTCCAAGAGCATACAACTGTGTGGGCAGAGGACAAAAATAGCTTCAGGTTCACACAATAAACAGGACACATAAAGACGAAAAAAACCCTGACACCACACACAGCTAATCACAGCATTTATCACACACATCCCAGTTTAAGTTTCCCTGTTTTTTGGTTTGTCTGCACGTTTCATACATATATGGAAGAGACAGCAAACTAGTTTCAAGACCATACATCTTTTTAGTTTTAGTAGAGTTTTTACGGCACTCACAACTGCATACGGTTATATGAGCGCCAAGGGGTAGATGTCAACAGAGAAGTCCATACAGGGAATCAGGCTTACTCTGCTCACCTCTCCAGCTTCAACAACACAAAGTCTGCCTCGACTATTAAGGCACCCGAGAAATAGCGGGTCACAAGAGTGTGACAAACATACAAAAGCAGTAAAGGAAAAAAGACGATAGTAAGGATTAGGAAAGCAAAAAGCAGCAATTCCCTGTTGCAGTTCAGGCAAAGTTATGAGCATGACATCGATGAATCAGCCCATTTACAATCCTACTATGCATAAGGACATGTTAATGTCCCCCCTTTGGGGATAGCCTAAAGACACTTCAGTCAGTAGCACCGCCCCAGGGGGTTTAGACCATGTCTCGCTATATTTGTGTAGAGGTTTGCCAGTGATACCCCTGACACAAAGAATGTTTTCATAGGGATAGTGGTTTGAGAGGCGAGGAGTTAAGAAACAGTGTATTTATATAAAATTTACTCCAGAGTGACAGACGCATCAGTTACCTGATAAGCAAGGGCGCTGCGTCCCATGGCAAACTGTGCTGTGTTGGTGCGGTCAAGGCAGTCCACACAGTTAGTCCTGACCAGTCCTGTCTGCCGGGAGCCCCTGCTACCCCACACACCTCTCAAAGCCTGCAGTCTGGAGAACAAACAGTGAATCAATTGTAGCAAAAATTCAGATTCAAACAAACAAAACAAAACCCATTTTCAGCTTAACAATCTTTAGAACGAACTAATGCTATTTGAAGCGCTGTTCCAGGGAAGTGTTACTTAACTTCACATATGTAAAAAAAGCCTCCAAACTATCGACTCAAACCTCCTTTCAGAAGCAGCAAACTAGAGCAGCTAAATATTTTTTTTTTAAAGTCAACCAGATATTGTAGAGCAGTTCACTAGGACTAAAAGGGCACAATTAATTAACCTTCAGGGTAACTCAATGAGGTATCTCACTAATAACCTTCAGGGTAACCCAAAGAGGAATCTCACTCTGTCAGCCTAAGAGGATAGTACAACGAAACATAACTATTTAACCTTCAGGGTAACTCAACGTGGATTTGAACCAACTCACTCTGGGTCTTTGAGCAGGTATTGGGCCTGGGTGGGAGGCACACTGAGAAAGAATCCAGTCTGTTTCATGCAGTATCTCGCGATACGATTCAACCTCAACATCACATCAGCATCTTTCCTGTGATGGCAAATTGGAACAAATAGTTGATCTTAACCATACCTTCATCTGAGAGCACATTTCAAATTATCATGAACACGTGCATCAAACGCTAAAAAATGAACATCTTGGCTGGCATCTTTTTGTAACCATGAAGATAAAAAGAAGTTTTTAAAAAGACATTAAGTCTATAACCCTGAGTAGATGATGGGACTGTCCAGTGAAGGGAGTGTCCAGTTAAACTCAACAGGTTCCAAAGTGGACAGTCCTAGCGTCCAGTCAGATTGCAGGGTACATAAAGCATTACTGCAAATGCAATCTCTTACAAATCCGAATAGATTTATTTTGACTCAGAAATGTTAGACAAATGTATAAACTACTTCCTCTTTCACTTTGACACAGTTTAAGCCATTATACGAACATTTTGCATGTATCCCCAGTTATGCGTTTCACGAGTTCTGGAAAAAATAACATCAAAACTTGGAAAATAATTCCAGGGTTAAGGAGTTAAGTCAAAGCAACAGGAAAACATGGAAAACCTTTGTGACAGAACATAAATGTGTGAAATTATCTGAAATGACAGTAGGCTTTATAAAACTTCATTCTGTTTAAAATAAAAACCAAATAAATCCTTTCATAATCAGCACACTTATATATATATATATATATATATATATATATATATATATATATATATATATATATATATATCTAAAAGTTCAAATTTCACATCCCACCACACTGAACATGACACCAAAACAAACTCAAATACATCATTAAAAAAATCAAGAAAATCAGGAACATACACAAGGGAAAGGGAAGAGAGTCCAAAGAACCTCTGGCATCATGATATAAAGAGAGAGCCCCAAAAGTGGAAGGAAGTCAGCATAAGCATAAGAATTACAAGAACACCAGCCCACCTTTTATTGACTCTGGCCATGTCAAAGCCAATGTACTGGATGCTGTGCTCAGCGGGCAGGAATTGGTTCAGGTAGTCTACTGTCTTGATGAAATCTTCACTCAAAATACTTTCATGTCTTTTGTTTTCTCTCGTCTGGAACACATCAGAAAAAAAAAAAAGTTTTGCCAGAATAATTACGGCACTTGCAACACAATAAGGTCATATAAGTGCCGAAGATTAGAGGTGTTACAAGAGAGTAACAATAACACCTATAATCTTCAGCACTTATATGACCTTATTGTGTTGCAAGTGCCGTAAAACAATTACTAAAACTAAAACAGTATTATGCGTTTTAATCATAAGGCTTTCTTCACAGGTTAAAAGTATTTGAAATGACACCATTTGACTGTCAAAATAATGATTGTAGGCTATGATACCGACAGGCCATTGAATTGGAAGGGAAAAAAAAGAAACCCAGGAAAAACTATAAAAGCACCAAAAAATACTTTTTTAAAACCTAGACTTTTATAAAGAAATTATTTTTTTTTAACATTATTTTTTAGTCTTTTGATGGTGACTTACACAAAATAGACGGAGGGGAGATAAGGACGACCGATGTTTGATTGGAAAGAAGAAGCAAACCACACCAGAGCACCCGCCACCCACCCACACATAATACTGTGATAAAGAAGTATCTATTTCATTTTAAAAGAAAAACCCGGTAAATTCACATTCTTTCTTGTTTTTCAAAGACTGCTTTTTTTCAAAAATATGTTTTTGTCTAACCGTATATATATCACAGTGTAAGAGGGATACAACTCTTTTCATTCAAAACTGTGCAGTAGTGAAAATAGGAATGAGACAAAACACAAGTTTTTTTAAGGGCCTACCAGGTACACTGACAGCGCACACAGAGGTTAATTATAACAGTGTACCAGGTACGCCCACAGTGCAGACAGGGGGTTCATCAAGTGTTACCAAGCAACAGATATGCCTCACCTTCACCAAATTGAGCACTATGATGGGGGCTCCATAGCGGCACAGAAGCTGGTTGAAGTGCATCCCAGCAGCACTTGAGTAAGGATCTCTTTGGTCCACTAAAATCAACAAGAAAAGCAATAGACACTCATCTTATGATGGCATGTATCTACTTATACCAAGAGAAGGTTATCTATTTTTGCTAATTATTCAAAACACAGAAAATTCCACTATTGTGAGCAAAGTACAAATAATCAAAAATACTCTCCAAAAACTATTTTTAAGCATGGTGCAGGAGAGAGTAAAAACTGCAAAAGAAAACCACCGGGAGAAGTGGGGCTGACTGCTCTTTCAAGTTTGATCCCACGAATGGTTCTTACAAAAATTGAGAACAAACAAAAACACAGAAAAGTTTTGCATAATACAGCTGAAAAAAGAGCAGTTTGAAACAAACAAAAAAAGTGGACCAATAATAGCATTACAGATTCAAAATCTATGATAAATACCAAAAGCTTAACTGAACTGCTTATCTTATTTTAATACACCGACTCAGAAAATTCCCAGTACAAGTCAAGGCAACCCCAAAAACAAAACAAAAAAAAGTTCTAAAAAATTAGAGGAACTTTGAAAATTACTTGCATAAATCATCATAACATTATAAATTACGCTTTTACTTGTCCCAGAAGGGCACTTTGTTTTACAATGGCAAACATACATACATAAATACATAATTATAAATACGTACATACATAAATACATACATGCATGCATAAATACATACATAAATACACACTATTACACAAATACAGAACAATTTACAAACAATGCCACTGACGGTCGCCACTGTGCAGCGCCCTGTAATTTGAGCTAGGGTTGTCGTGTCTTGCTCAAGGACACACCCCAGTGACCACCCATCTGATCACCCATCTGATCACCGTGTCACCGACACTTGCTTGACATTGCTTGAGTCAAAACTCACTACTCACTTAGCCACTGGAGGTTATCTCATCTGCTGAGAGCAAGAAGCAAATTAAAAAACTCAAGACATGCCCTCCCAACACTGAACCCATATATACTTAATTCTCACACGATATTGGAGGTTTGGGCACCATCTTCGAGATATCTTGTGACCAGAATAGGGGCACAGAACCTCGCAGCTGGACAAATGAGGAAACTTTGCCTTGATCAAGGAATGTTACCGATGTGTCTTGGACAATCTGCTCAGTTTCAATTTCATTGGCTACATACCCCTGAAGGGAAAAGATAAACATGGTGAAAGTGAATTACAAGCATTAATTACAGACAACTGACTCATTTTAAGATCTGAAGAAGAATAAACATGATAAAAGCTAGGAATAACAACTTCATTTTAGGTAATTTCAGATTATACAAAAGTATTTTTCACAGATGAAACCTATACATAGGCATATGAAATGTAAAGACATTTGAATGGCATTATCGCAAAATAAACAACATTTCAAAATTCAACTCTTTGTCCTTGAACGCATCCCGGCTCAATGTTGCATCTGATGAATAATCTTCCTCTTTAACATAACTCATCAAAACAATTCCCTTGGCTGTGGAAATTTTTGCTCCATTACATTGCTTATGACTGTGGGAACATGAAAATCAAATTTCCTCCTCTTTCTCAGTACAAGATATAGTGAGTTGTGCCGAATGAAAAGGTAAACATCATATGTGCAAACAAAAAGCACCCATTGTTACAGTTATCAAGAAGATGCTGAATCAAATTTGGGCAAAGTAAAGGTGCCCTTGTCCTTGATGTACTGCTTTGACCAAATCCTAACTGATGAACTTTAAAACTTGCCCACAACTTGCCCCTCACATTGAGAGACGTCCCCTTGACCCCATTAATCTTTACATCAAAGTTGGTGTTTTAAGGATACCAAAGTCAGTAGGTACAGACGTTTTGAGAAAAGTTACATCAAAGTGGAGTTTAATAAGTACCAAAGCAGGTAAAAACAGATCTATTTGAGTATAGTTACATCAAAGGTGGCATTTGATAGTAAAACAAAGTACAGTAAGTACAGACATTGTTGGGTGCAGTTACCTCCTGGTTCGTGCCACGCTTGAGAAATCTGGTCCCTGCAAACTGGTTGGATCTTCTGCCAATCACCGTGAGGTACACGGACTTACCAAACACACAAACATCTGTGTTACAGTTAAGATGTCATCCAAGTAGAACATTCACTTCACACTTTAGAAATTCGGAAAAAAAAATAATTCAAAAGACACAATAACAACTAATGAATTGAAATTTAAGTATGACTCTTTCATCCTCCGTCTGAGTCACTCTGCTTCTGCAAAACTATCTCAGGCCAAGGGCTGCACTTTTATCCAGAAATCATACACATATATTTGGAAAATTTGATAAAAGTTCAACTGATTATCTAAGGATAAAAACTTGGTATTAAAATGTAGAGAAATAAACTGAGTTACTTAGAATGTAACTGGGATATAATAAAGTGCACAGAGCCTTTTCCTAAGAAGAGACACCACCCGTGTAAAGGTAATTTACTATATCTTTTATCAACATCATACAACAACATCCTTGTTGAGTTTCCGTACAATACAATGTCAGGTCAATTTTTTTCAACCATTAACCCTTAGAGCCCAAAAAACCCTCTGACAGGTCTGGGACTTTATCGATGCGTAGCCCTATAAACCCTTTCACCGGACTGGGAGTCACAGATCCAAGTGAGCCTGAGCCAGCCCCAACTAGGCCTAAACGTGTAAAAAACTATTCACTGGCTCTAGATGTGAGATAGGCAACTCTGATTAGTTTCTGAGTGGATATTTTGTTATTGTGTGTGACGTATTTGTTGTCTGGTCTGTTTGTTGAGACTCACGTAAAAATTTCCTTAAAATGACCGGGCAGGGGGTATTCTAGGGTCAGCAGAGTCAGGGCCCTAAGGGTTCAGAGCAAAATCCAAAAAAAAATTATACACAGTCAAACCTGCTCTAACAGTCACGTCTATAAGACAATTACCATTACAAATGGCCACTCCCCATTTCCACCCCCTTTCACTTCTTCTTTACATTATACTGGTAGCATATAAGATGGCCACTTGTCTAAGACAGACACTTTTCTTCTCCTAAATAGGTGGCTGTCCTAGACAATTTAAACCTTATTTGCAACTACTCAGCCAATTCTTCAGAAGCAAGCATGAACAGAAGAGGGGGAACATTCTAGAATTTGATTGTAGCCACGTCTTGGTGTGTGATTTCTCCTGGTAAGAGTGAGGCCAGTTAAACAAAAATAACAGCTTCACGCGTATTTCCATGCAAAGGGAGGGGAGAAGGGAGTGATGAGTAATGCTTACATCACAGCCACCACAAGGTACATGGAAACAATTTATTCAGTGTCTTTTGCTTTCTGATAAATCCACAGATGTAGCAAAAAAAAATCATACTTACAAACTTCAGGTCAAATAGCATGAACCAGTAGCTTACACACTATCAATTTCACAAAAAATGGAACTTCTTCATTAACCTTAACAAATAGGTAGAAGCCCCTGAATGGGAAAATATTCAGCGATTTTTAACGCAATCAAAACACACAAGATAAAAGGATACTGCTCTGGCCAATAAAGCCATGAATGATGTAAAGAACCCAGTCAGAGTGTACACAGTTCTCAAACCCTTGCAGCAGATGGTTGTTCCAAAGGAACTTTCTGCACGGAGCATTCTTCACACCACACTTTACCTCTTCTGATAAGGAAAATTAGAATTATATATATATATATATATATATATATATATATAAACATAGTTAAAAGAACACATATATGTAGATATTTTATATCAGAACAGACCGTAGCCAGCATTTCAGGGCTCAACCCATACAATATGTGTGGAGCCTCTCACATCCAATCGCTTCAAGATGCACTGCATGTGAGCTGTTATCAGTGTAAGGCTCTGGCCACACTGCAAGCAGAGCGGGCACAGCAGAGCGCAGCAGTGAAAATTATTACAAAGACAAAGAGGCGACTGGCTGCGCGACTCGAGGCGGGTCAAGCGCTAAGATGGCGGTTTATATATTGCCGCTGGCTTAGCTTGAAATTTGCTCACGTCTGCACGCACGTTGTTGTTAAGTGTCAATAAAAGAAATAGATAAAAATCAAAGAGAGGGGGGGAGAGAGAGGGGAGAGAGTGGGGGAGAGAGAGAGAGAGAAAAGAGAAAGAGAGAGATGAATGAGTGTACACAAAGGGAATGTTTTAGAGAACAATGAATAGGTTTTTCTTGTAATCGTGCTCAGGCGTGTCCTGCGTGCAAATGTGAGTATATTTTCAAGCTTTGCAGGTAAAGATAAATAAACCCGATTTAACGGCGCTCGAAATTTACTCACTTCTGCATGCAGAACACGACTGAGCGCGCACACAGTCTTGACAGCGTGCACAAAATCTTGACAGTGCGCACGACGCATGATCAACTCACATTCAGGACAATAACAACAAGAAAGGAAAAAGAAAGTAGATAACGGCAATTGAAACTGATATGAAAATACAATGCCACACGACTTTGCATTGCAGCGGCGCCCGCTCCGCTCTGCTTGCAGTGTGGCCACCCAATGTTAACGCCTCAAACAGCTCCGCTCTGCTGCGCCCGCTCTGCTTGCAGTGTGGTTCGAGCCTAACTCTTAGTGTCAAAGTGCATATATATGAAGTTTGCATATGAAGAGAAGCTATAGACCTTCCTACCTAAGCAGCTAGCTTCGTAAAGAAAGAAAAGTTCTGAAAATTATAGTATGTAGCTTGTAATGATCACAAATACCACAACTTGCCATAAATACTAAATGATATACAGTGTGTTTATGTTGCAAAATCCAGCTTTTCTTTGATGCGAAAAGGATTAAGAGGCTTATCCAAGCTCTCATTTATCTGTGTGGGTTTAGGATGAAACCTTTAGGTAAAAAGACAGAAAGGGACACCAAATCTCACAAGGAGAGGTGTTATCTGAAACAGAGTGCAGAAGGTCATACGGCAGCAGAAAAATTAAAAAGGCCAAAAACAGATTATTTGGCAATTTTTTATAATGAAGTTTGGCAAAAGGGAAGCACATTGACAATATAACTATCATTTAGTGCTGGGAAACAGCAAACCAGACAAACAGATACAACATGGGGTAAATAAAGCAGTAGAACCTACAAGTGGCGCCTCCCAACCACTCACAATTTTCTACACCTTTATCTGCTCTGTACACATAATGACATGAAATAATAACCAAGAACTGGACTGTCCGCTTGGTATTCATTGTTAAAATTTTGTTTCCTACCTTTTTTCAACTCTGCCTCAGGAATTGAAGACAGGGTTAAGCTCTCCGGAGACGGCTTGATGTCGGTGACCTCACTGATGGGGATCGTCTGTTCCTCCATTTCTTTGTCCGTAGCACTAGCAGTGGGAGCTGCTGGGAAAGAGCTTTTGCTGAATGCTTCCTCTGCTTCTCCTTCCCACAGCGAATGCAGCCTGGAGGCTGCTCGGTGCCTGTAATGATTCGGCTGTGGCTGTTTACAGCTGATGTTGTCAGTGTTGCCAGACGTGCAGGCATTACCTCCCTTCCCTTCTGTGAACACACGGGCCATGTTGTACTGTAGAGTATGTGTGACATCATAGCTGTAGCTGGAAACAAAAAAGCAACAACACAACAATGAGTGACTTTCTCGTTATGACCTGTTGACCTGTGGGATAAAAAACTTTAGTTAAAAAAAAGAACTTCAATGCCATTACCAGCAACTGAACTAAAAACTGAAAGTCTTACCTTCCTCTGTCAATAACAACAACAACAATTGTAACAAAAGGAGCCTCAGTAGCCTGAAAATGGTGAAACGGTATAGGTTTATATACATGTCCCTATTAATAGTGCTTCCACCAGCTGAAGCTGAAAAGTAAGAAAATTCTGCCGGGGTTCTGGGGGTCACAGAAGTACTTTTAGAGGGTTGAAAATGGCATTTGGGAGCCTGTTTGAAGAGATTGCCAACAATCCATACTATCTATTTTTTCCCCAAGATTTTGTCTTGTTTGATTTCTTCACCAACATATCTTTCCATTGCTGGCAATGTTTAAAAGCAGGTTCCCTTTCCATTGCTACTATAATTCAATTAATTTGTCATCGCACCATTGATAAAAGGCAAACCTGGGAATAATAATGAATAGATATGTACCTTCACAAGACAGTTACCCAGCGTATACCCTAATTTTCCTCAATTTTCACGTCTGAATGTTACATGTCACAACCTCGGAACACCACTTCCAATTATTCAAGAGATTCTTACAGGCGTTTTATTAAAAGACATTTTCTCTCAAAACTCTCCAACTGAAGTCAAAAACAACATGCAGTTCGCAGGGCTGGACACCTACGAGCATATGTTTTAGTAATTAACAGGATGAAAATGAGTAAACTGTCTTTAAAATTCGTAATATGGCCATGGAAAATCTTCTTTCATGGAGTGTCAAGGACAGGGGTGTAGTCCAGTTAAGTGTAAATGCAATGTAAACAAAGGCACGGTGATACAAAAGGGGAGGAATTTTTTACCCCTTGTCAATCTAATGTCAACCTTACTCCTGGCTGTGGCACTTCTAATGTTTTTCTAACGACAAAGTGGCACTGGGCGACTACAAGGGCTCGATGAAAAGAGGGTGTTAATACTACTAGAGTAAGGACAGCTGCACGTGACGTCATGACGTAGACTGTCCGGGTCTGGTAGTTTTTCTATTTTTCTTCCCTATACATACACCAGAAAGGTTGGCAGTGGGTTGGGATAGCCAAAATTTTTCAGAATATCGGAATCTGGGATATAACGAGCGTATTTTAGTAATATTTAATAAAAATCGTAACAATTCCACCAAATTCTTAATGGTGAGCAGCCCTGAGTTTGTATTTTGGTAAAAAGTCACAGAGGGACTGCAGAGCTTCTGACACAGCAACAGACACCTCTAGACACTATCAAGTAGGAACTGGAAAACTACTTCTTTTTTGAGAATGTAGATATTTGAAGTTATAAATTTTTCACTTCTGTTACATGTGTTACCTTCAGTTTAGTTCGAATCTATAACCATAAAACCGTAAAAAAACAAAGAACAAAATAGTAATAGTATAATCATATGCTGGATCAAAAAAAAAAGCAAGTCATCAGATCACATTGTGAATTTCTCTCTTCAATTGCTCAGTCTGTTTGCCACTTTACCTGAAGTAGAAGTTGCTCGATAGGTCAACATTCTGAAACATTTTCACATATCTGAGGATGAGAACAAACATATCTTTTATAATAATAAAAGTCAAATTTTCAAAATGGAAATAACAATGATAATAATAATGATAATAATAATTTTAAAAATAATAGATTGCATTTCTAATAGCACTCTATCTCTATCCCATACAGGAATAAGCTCCGAGCACAATGACAAAACGCTTTTCTAACAGATTCATACTTTGGAAAGCTCAACAAGCTGAAGTCGATTCATCAATACATATATGCACAGTCCAAAAAGTCCAAGATGGCCACCAATAATTACTGAGGACAAACATAGTTGTTTTAAACAGGTGAACATCCCAGATAGCGGCATTATAATATTTTTAAAAAGCATGGGGAGGGGGGGGATGTGGCTGTTTACACAGACGATTGTCTTGAACAGGAAAGGTGTACGTTAAAGCAAGTTTGACTGTATTTTCCTGACAATAATTATAATGCTTCCAATCATCTCTCAGACAACCTTAACTTCAACTCAAACATTTCAAAAATTTAAAACATCTTCAAAAACCTAAATCAGGTACCCTTAAAGAACTCAGATGAATGAAAAATACAAAGGAGTCAAAGAAAACCTTGAACTTAAAAAAAAGGAGTAAAGAAGAAAGTGAAATTATATGCATGAAACAGCCAATGATCTCAATATAATAAAGCAGAAGAATGTGAACAATACTTTGCAATATTGTTCGTTGATAACAATGATTAAAAATCTTATGAGGTCTACACATAAAGAGCTTGCCATTGCACACAGTAGATATGAGTTCACATTCCCTTGTAGGGAAGATAATTTCATTACCATCTCCTTCTGTCGGCTGGGATACTGTATCCGATTCAGCCCAAGTTGACCCCGGCAAGCAGGGTCGAACAGGCTCACCTTGTAAGTGATTTAAACTGGTCTGATGGGGGGACATAAAACATTTGTGATAAGAAATTACCTGCTCTCATCCGGATGTACATATCTGACGGAATCATTGGGAATGTACAACATTGATGTGTCTTCTATCTTATAGACAGTATGAGGTCCTATCGCTGCTGCTTTTTTTCTCTTTGTGATCAGGATCATGTAGTAGCCCTCCAGAAAGCGCACAAATCCTGGAATAGAAAGAGAATTTTCAGGTTGTAATGATTGTCTTATGTGCACGTGAGGGGGACACTCTCTAAGCAACATATTTATGTCTAGCAAGGTATTAAACTTAAAACCAGGCTATCATTAATAATTCCGGTAGCAAATGAGGATAAAGGGGAAATCACATACACCAGTTCTCACTGAACAGCATGCAATAATATCTCCATAGTTAAGAATTATTGCAGCAGATGTTAGAGGACAAGACCAGGTTTAAAGACGGAGTGTAGACCTCAGACTCAAAGACAAAGGGGAGCAGTGCCATACTGCAGACCGCAAAAACACACCCAAATAGCGAGCCTTATTAATTTCATTCTCTATGCCTATCAATCATCTCTCTTCAGGAAGTTTCAAACATTCATATCTTTATAAAACAATGATGAGATTTTTCTGATTTGAATGTACCTTAATGTTAAAAAGTATCTATAACCCCCCCCCCCCCCCCCCCCCCCCCAATAAAGAAAGAAAGGTAGAAAGAAAGAAAGAAAGAAAGAAAGAAAGAAAGGTAGAAAGAAAGAAAGAAAGAAAGAAAGAAAGAAAGAAAGGTAGAAAGAAAGAAAGGTAGAAAGAAAGAAAGGTAGAAAAAAAGAAAGAAAGAAAGATTAACCACAAGCTAAGAGACTTTTTGTTATCAAGTTCAGTGTCCATGAAATGGACCAAATATCAAAGTCAAAGATTCTCTCAAAGGTCACTTCTTAAACGAACGTTAAAATATATCACTTTTGACTGCCCCATACACAATCTAATGTTTCTTCAGTGATCCTGTATTTCCCATTGTATACTTAGCCCATAAATTCATTAAACTCTACCAAAGTTATATTAACCTACATCTTTCATTAGTCCACTTTTAACACAAGTCAACAGCACCTTCTTACCTGCAATGCCAAAGGCTGAGATGTTTTTGGAGAGTCCGGTAGAGTTGTTTCCCTGCTTTTTTGGCTTGTTGCCTCCATCTATCATGGACAGCACACTCCTAATCTCACTGCGGCTGTACTCCACCTGAACATACATTTGGCATGATAAAGGGCACATTTCTGATTTCACAGTTAATAGATTTTGACAAAAGCAATACTGATGATATAGAAGAGGCTGGCCATACTAAATGGCTCACCATACCATCTGCTTGGATAAGAAACTGAAGGGAGCAGCCGCTCCAGAGAGCTCACCAACCACCAATTTGGTGGAGAAACAGAAGATGTAAAACAATCCAAAGAATTCATCATCTTAGACAGATGGACATCTCACACATTTGGCATTCTTATAAAATTATCTAAAAAATGCAAGGGAGAAATGGGAGGTGGTCATTTGTACAGGTGGTTGACTTATACAGGTGGCCGTTAGAGCAGGTTCAGCGACACATTGTGAGTCAATAGCAGAGAGGGAATGAAAGTGGATGAGAGAAAAAACATGATACAAAAATGTTCAGGAAAAGGAACCATTCACTCACTCACTCCCTCCCACCCTCTCTCCCACCCACCCACCCATACCGACACACACCGACACACACCCACACAGACACACACACATCACCCGATATCATACATTTTGTTGGACTGACACACTTTGGAATGTCTAGCTCGCATGTTGAGATCTATAGTCCATAATATATCAATCTTACCTTATCATCATGAATGACCAATTCCCTGGGTTCAGTCCGATCAATTTTCAAGACTCTGAACCTCGTCTCTGATTTGTTAGAGCCAACAATGTAGTATCGCTGGTTGGAAACAAACAAACAAGAACAGATACAATTAACCGAGCACAAAAGTGTTCTTCAACACAACACACAACACAAAATCCAGTGCATACTAAAGCAGCAATAGAGCATCCTTGCTCACATTACACCCATGTACAAAAACATCTTTCACCATTGGACCAGCTGGTAACAATATCTTATTATAATGGAGCTAGGCCCGTTTGTGGGGTCAGTAAAAACTTTTTACACAGGTGCCCATAAAATCTACAAAAATATGATTCAGACAAGAATTGCCCCAAAGAGTTACGTGGGAATATTTTCAAAGTTCGGAAACTATCTTTTGATTTTTCAGGTTTGATGGTTTTTCCAGTAAATCAAAGCTCTCAGGTGTTTTCATTAGCCATTTCATATTTTACTGGGGACTACTTCCGTTTCATATTGTGCTTCTTCGTGCGTGTGAGTAGTTCGCAAGAACAGAAGTGCGATTTGTGCTTTGTCGTGTGTGTGCCACAGAGTTCTACTTTTTTAAAGTAGTTAACACGGACGTAAGTGCGGTAGGTGTTTTGTCGTGTGTGTGCGACAGATTTGTACTTTTTTGCAGTAGTTAGCAAGAACAGAAGTGCCGTTTGTGTTTTGTCGTGTGTGTATGTGACATAGTTCTATTTCAGCTGCTCCTATTGGCCCACTGAATATTAGTTTTTTTAAATTGGGGACTACTTTCGTTTCATATTGTGCTTCATCGAGTAAATGGATCAAGTTGCACATCTTATCAAGACGCATGCAACCAACTTGGACTGCTCGATGGTGATACTGAGTAAGGATGCAGCAATGCAAGAAGCATATCCCATAAGATTTGGACCCCAGTTACATCTTGCCTTTACAACCATTCTCATCTATTGTCGCCCAGCTGATCCTCTCTCATTTTGGCACAAGCACAAATTGGAACTGTGTCGGGACATCATGATGAGAGACAAGGTCACAGAGTTGAATCTTCTGATTGAAAACCAAGTGTTGCTACAACTTAAACACATTCTTGATAACAACGGGCTGAATCTGCATAAAGACTTTCAGCTGCCACCTACAGAACACAGTCACGTTGAGGGAGAACAACCAAGAGTTATCCACGAGGAGTAAAATTTTGACACAAACAACAAGGTGAGTCAAGAGTACCCAAAGCTTAATGAAGAACAAAGAGTCATGTATGATGCTTTGATAGAGTCAGTTGTACAGAAGCAAGGCAAAATATTTGCCCTGGAGGCAAGTGGAGGGACTGGGAAAACCCACACTATAAACCTGATTCTTGCGACTGTCCGTTGCTTTAAGAAGATCACCCTTGCTACAGCTCTGTCAGGCATTGCAGCAACTCTGTATTCAAAAGGTAGAACATTACACAGCAGATGCAAAATACCTTTGTGTGTGAACAAACAGTCAATGTGCAGTGTGAGTCCCCGAGATGCCAGTCGCGCTTTATTACACCTAACAGAGCTGCTCATCATTGATGAAGTATTGATGGGCCACAAACACATCTTGGAAGCCATAGACCGAACACTTCAAGACATATGTGGGAATAACTCTCTGTTCGGTGGGCTAACTGTGCTGATGTCGGGTGACTGGCGCCAAATACTACCACAGTAGTTCGCCATGGCTCAAGATCACAGATAGACAATGCAACCCTGAAACCATCATATCTGTGGGATTATGTTAATGTGCTCAGACTGACAAGAAACATGAGGGTTTTGCTTACAAGTGAGACTGTTGATTTCTCCAACTATCTACTGAACATTGGTGATGGTACACACAACGTATGCAAGCAAATCGGGGAGTTTGTGATAAAACTACCAGATGACATCACAGTGAACAGCGAGCGAGAGTTGATAAATTTTGTCTTTGATTACTTGCAGTCTAACTCAAATCCTGACTGACTGGCTTCCCGCTGCATCATCTATCCCACCAAAAAAAAGTAGACAGAAACAACAACCTGATCATGCAGTCCTTTCCCGAAGAAGATAAAAGTCTACAGGACCAGTGATTCGGTGGAAGAAAATGAACACCAATACACCATCGAATTTATAAATTCTCTGTGTCCGTCAGGTATGCCACCCCACAAACTGACATTGTCATGTTGCTGAGAAATTTGGATCCCACAAACGGCCACTGCAACGGGACTCGATATGTGGTGCAACACCTTCATCAACATGTAATAGATGTAGTCGTTGCTTGCGGTCCAAATGCTGGAAAGACTATTCATCCCAAGGATTCCCCTCATGCCTTCAGACAACATATTTCCCTTTCATATGCAACGGAAACAATTTCCGGTTAGACCTGCTTTTGTAATGACTGCCAACAAAGCTCAAAGACAGACTTTGAAAAGGATAGGGGTTTATTTACAGGGCGACTTTTTTTACATTGACAATTATATGTCGCAATGAGTCGTGTTGGGTCCAGGGACTCTATTAGGATCCGATACATGCAAACAGACCCGCTGCCCAGGACGGAATTCCAGATGGCGGATATACCAGCAATGTTGTCTTCACAGAGGATTGGCTCTTTCAGATCGTGTCTGGCCCGGAGAATTTCATTAGGCTCTCTGGCTCTTTTTTGGTTACAAACTTCAAATGTTCAAGAAGAAAAGAAAAGAACAGACAAGAAAAAAAGAAAAAGAAAGAATATAAGAAAAAAAATGAAAGTGAAAGTGAAGAAAAGAGTTTGGATTGCTTAATTATTAAACTAGATAACTCGATTTAACGCCCTCCCCTATTTGGTCTGAATAATTTACAACCCTTCTACAATTGTGCAAGAGCATTTAAAGTCTTGTGCTTGTGTCTCGTTACGTTTTTACACGCTCTCTGTTCCTTGAACCATATTTATTGTGTGCAGGCAGAGAGTGAGAAGCCTGCTATCGTTAGGTGTGTAAACAACAAATGGTCCGCCTGGCGGTGGGTCCCACATCCCGCTCAGAACGTCGGTAGGGAGCGAGACGTGCTGATAAACAGCCAACGCTTCGTTAGTCATGCGAGTAAAGGGTCGAGGGCTCGCCGGCCCGTTTACAGAGCGACGATAGGAACAGACGAAAGACTGGTGTGTTCTCCTGTACGATAATACCCCCTCCCCCCCACCCCCCGGTAGTGAGCCTTTTTTTTACTGGAGAGGCGAAACATGTTTTTACATTATTATTATTCGTTCCCAAACACATGCGGTAAGCCACCAAGGGCCTCCAAGTGATTTTATCGGCCTGCGAGAGGTCAGGGGGGAGTCCTCGCTTCATGCCCACACCGGGATGGGGGCTATTCTCACCGGGGGGGGGGGGGGGGGGGGGGAGAATAGCGAGTCATAAAGTTATTCTCACCCAGGATGAGAATAGTGAGACATGGGTTATCCGGGTGAGAATAAAGGTGGCCATATAGATCTAGATCTAGATTCTAGGCCGATTCATTCATATATTTATCATTTTTGATAGATCTAGAACAGACTTAAAATTTGGTTTATTATGACCTCATGGTCTTAGTAACTCAAATCAGCCAAAAATGTCAGAACATTAGGGAGCACTTCCGTAGCGTAGCGAGCGATCACTATGAGACAGAGCAGAATTGAGGGCTTGGGCTTGGGGTAGGGGTAGGGATAAGGGTAGGGGTAGGGGTAGGGGTAGGGGTAGGTCTAGGCCTCTTCTTTATTGTGTTTGATGGGGTGGTCGCTCGTTACGGAAGTCCTTCCGAACATTATATATAGAACTAGATCTAGATCTAGTCTAATTCAAAGGCAAAGGTTTGAAAGTAACAGCTATCCGCTTGTGTGAAAGTAGACCTTCTGAACTTCTCTTACCGCTTTTGTCTCATACAGGACCAGCTTCTGTGTCCATGATATTAAGACAACCTCGTCCATTTCAAAAGCCTTTTCCTATTATATTATGTCTTGATCTAGATTCTAGATCTAGATCTAAAGTTAAAGATTTAAAAGTGTTAAACCGTGGCACCATTCTCAGGCATAAAAACAATTAGTCGGGCCTTCCCCTTCGTCTCTTCTTCTTTCCATTATTTTCGTTTTCCGTCCCAGCAGTAGTCCTTGTGATTTTATAACCCTTATTATTTTTTCAATTGAAGAGTATCAACAAATATCACGTGACACTTGTCCGAGGGTCCTGTGACTGTCATGTGGAAGAGCTTTCGTGCTTAGTGTGATAACAAAAAGCACACAAGCTTCCACACAAACAAAATGGCAGTCAGCACTGCCTTGGGACTGCAGGGGGCTTCCCTGTTCTTGCCATTACTCCTGTTTGGCTTTTTCTTCCAATGTACTGAAGGAGCGGAAGACTGCAAGATTGGAAAATACGATCTAACAGATTTGCATGCGTAAGTGTTTCTACTTTGTATGATTGGACGTTTGGAAGTAAAGACCACTACTTCTACACTCTACGTGGACTTGGACTCGACGTCGTCATCAGGGCCAGGGGCTTCCTCGTTCATTCCATTCGGTTGTATAAAATTAGGAGACTGTGTTCACTGAACTACTATGTCAATAGACTATAAGTATAATCTAGGGAAGTGGCTATTCTCACCCGGGGTGAGAATAGAAATACGATCGACCTCTCACCCCGGGTGAGACTTGCCACCGTAGGCTATTCTCACCCGCTGTGAAACAAGACCTGTTTTTCCTAATTTCGGAATACTTTCTATCGATGTGGATGATCAAATGGATAAAGGCAAAGAAAAGATTACGTTATAGCACAAAAATAAGCTAATTTTATCGACTACAAAGATGCTATGGTTATTTCACTTTTCGAATCGAGCCGAACTACGGGGGTCGCCATTTTGTTTGGCTGGCACTATTTCTCCGAACATTCGGGAAAATAAAGCTAGGCACTATTTCTCCGAACGTTCGGGAAAATAAAGTTGGGCACTATTTCTCCGAAGGGAGTGTATACAGACCCGGTAACCGGGAACAAAGTCACAAAGTATACAGACCCAGTAGGGGAACTCTTTTGTGATTTCGGAAAGTTTCAGCACCTCTTGGCTCAGGGTAGACCTAGGTTCTTCTAGATCTATGGCCCATGTCTAGATCTAGATAGACAGACATAAATCATTGATCTAGTTTCGAGGCTAGCCTAGATCTAGATCTAAATGAAGATTTAGGATGTTCTTTTCGATGAACGATCGTTTTTTCCTCCGTTTTGGAGTTGGAGGAATCACAATTTGAAGAAAAGAACAATGTCATAATTTCAATCAAGCAGTCACCCTCTCTATTTCTCTCTCTCTCTCTCTCTCTCTCTCTCTCTCTCTCTCTCTCTCTCTCTCTGTATGGCTCGCATTCTCTTTTTCTTTGTTTGTCTCTGTCTTTCTTTCTCTCCACCTATTTCCCACTCTATCTTTCTCTCGTTCCCTCTACCAACTGGGGCATGTCATATACATTTTGCTAGCACTTCTCTCCTCTCTCTCTCTCTCTCTCTCTCTCTCTCTCTCTCTCTCTCTCTCTCTCTCTCTCTCTCTCTCTCTCCTTCTCTCTCTCTCTCGCTCTCTCTCTCTCTCACACACACACACACACACACACTACCGGGTCTGGGCGCTGAAACTTTCCGAAATCACAAAAGAGTTCCCCTACCGGGTCTGTATATTTCGTGACTTGGTTCCTGGTTACCGGGTCTGTATACACTTCGTTCTCCGAATACTCTGAAATCACATCCTTTCCCGCAAATTTCGGGTATTATATAGATCTATAATTATAGTATGCCTACCAAAGATTGTTCATATGCAATATGGTTCAATCGGTCCAAAAAATGTCAGCAGTAAATATTTATATGGTACAGTTCCAAACAGTTTTTCGCTACAGATATATGACGTGTTGCCTATGAAGGGTGCTGCTCTTAAACTTAATGTGTTGTGTTCACTCGTGTGCTGTCTAGATCTAGATCTACGGAGGGTTATGGATAACGACACATAGAACTAGCATCTGCGTTTGTCGCTGCCGCGACCAATCAATCGTGGCTCGACTTTTTGGTCTCCGAATCGGGGAATAAAAGTCAAATTTTAAAAATTTTAAAATTTAAAAAAAGAAAGAAACCGAACCTCTTTACTTTTGAAAGAAAGTTCACCTTGCTTCACTTCGTCTCTTTCTCACTTGTTGTCACCACGTTGATTTGTTGAATACGTTAGTTACTTTTATTTTTCCCTCTTTTTGGTGTTTTATTTTTGTTAGTGTGTATTTTTTTCTTTCTTGTTATTGTTCTGATGGTTGTTTTTCTATCAATTTTTTTTTTGTTGGGGAAAAAGGGGGGGGGGGGTGTTGTATAGTGTAACGTCATTTAATTTGATGTTCCTACCTTCATTAGATTCTAAACATGTATATATGTATATGTACAGTCAAACCTGTGTAAGACGGCCACCAATTGTCAAGGAGAAAAGTGGCCGTATAAGACAGGTGGCCGTCTTAGGCAGGACTGATTAAGATAAAGAAAACAAACCATTCCCATCTGAGGCCTCAATCGAAAGTAGCCCCATTATGTTGTCTTTGTTGATGTTGTTGGTTTGAATTTTGTTTGTAATTTTTCTTTTGTGGCTGATTTTGCACAAGGGTGACAATAAAACGAAATGTATCAGACAAGGAAGACTGAGTGCCATGTTAAAACAAACACATGGGTCGCCACCACTCGGAGAACGAGTGGCGCTTCTGTAACAAGTTCATGTTACGTCCTTTGTTACTTTGTTACAGACTGGGTAAACAGTGACCACTCATCTCACGTACGGTTTGTGTATGAGTTCTGGGCGGGGCTTATGGGTTATGAGGGATCACACGCTTACCTCACCAGCAGCTGAAAATTGGTAGCTATTGGTCAACAGTGGGAGGGGCCTACGCAACATGATCAGTTGGAGGGACTACCTAACAACAACGACAGGTGATTGAATTATGACGGCTCGCCCACAACGCCAGGGGCCAATGCACAATTTATGACAAAACGTAATGGAGTCACTAAGGTGACCGTCTTAGACAGGTGTTATTGCTTAGTATGTTAGGGGTTGTGTATTAAATTATGGTGGCCGCGGCCGCGTTGGACAGGTGCCCGTTTTACATAGTTAAATTAAATAGAAAAAACGCAAGGGGGGAAATGGAAAGTGGCCGTCTTATAGAGGTGGCCGTCAGGGCAGGTTCGACTGTATATATATATATATATATATATATATATATATATATATATATATATATATAAATGTGTTATGTTAGAGCGTACGTTCCACCAAAACCGATTACATGTACTGACACTGGCAGGCCCCTTAATGTGTGTGATTCCATTATTTACATGTAATATCCTGTACTTTGTTTTAAAATTACGCACATTTAGTAGGGTTAAAACAGCCAATCTTCTTCGGACAGATGGACTCACGCCCTTATTTGTTAATTTTTGTGGTTGTTTATGGGCTGTTCTAATTTTGATTTCATTTGGTTTTGAAACCTTTCTTTTTCACGTTTTCACCCTCATCTAAAAATTTCTAGACTAGCTCTTGAAAATTGAAATAGATATAGACCTAAAAATGTGCTCCTGTGTTTGTGTGTGTGTGTGTGTGTGAATGCATGTGCGTGTGTCTGTGTGTGGTAGTATTAAGTGTTTAAGTGGAGAGTGAGGAGCGTGAGTGTGTTTGTTTTTCGGACTTTATTTCAGCCTTTATTCAGTAACAGTTCAAAGTATACAAAAATAGAAACACAGGATCCATTCACTCCAGGGCTCATGAGTCGTTCCTCTCTTTCAGTTTCACTTATTCATTGAATTCCTGTGTTCTCTCCCGCGGCTCATTCCCGTCCGCATGACTTTCACACCCCACCCCCTCCCTCCAGGCACACACAAAGAAAATCTCACTCATTCCCTAGCACCCTGCGAACCATGGACAATAATATTAACAAAACATTGCCTACTGCCTTGACCACATTCCTTTCGTTCGTGAGCTGTGGACCAGGCCTGGGGGTCGGTGTCGTCGCCTTGTTGTTGCTGTCGCCTGTGGATACACTTGTACATTCTTCCTTTCACCTGCTCTGTCACTCACACTGTCTCTCCATCCACAGCTCAGCTCGTCATATATTCAAAAGTTGCCCACTGATCATGTTTAGTTAGTGTGTGTATAAGTTTGTGTGTGTACATATGTGCATGATGGTGGTGGGTGTAACTGAAAGTTGTCTGAAGGCGGGCTTGCCATGCGGTGTTCCTTCCCAGACCAGAGGCAGAATGAAAGTTAGCGCCGAACCTTCGCAATAAATAGGCAAAAAATCACAAGACCGGAAGCCGGAAACCGTTCGGAGAAATAAAGATCTGCACTATATCTCCGACCTTTCGGAGAAATAGTCACCATGCCCGGAAGTTCTCGCAAGATCTACTCCTCCCCTCTTCTCTCTCTCTATCTCTTTCTGAATACTGTCTATCGGTGTGGACGATCAAATTGACCAAAACAAAGTTAAAAAATGATGTAAAAACACAAAAGTAAATTAATTTGGTCGTCTACAAAGATGCTACGGCTATTTAACTTTTTGAATCGAGCCGAACTACGCGGGTCGCCATTTTGTTTTGCCCGGAAGTTCTCGCGCTACTCCTCTTTCTCTCTCTCTCTCTCTCTCTCCACTGCCCACAGACAAAATTGTACGCTTTTAGTAGGCTAACAGTAGTAATGGAACATTTGTTCACGGCACAGAATTCTACAATTTTTCTGTTATCACAGTGTAGAATTCTGTGGTTTAGGGTGAACGCAAAATTGGTTGGCCTATATCTAGGCTATAACGGTGAACGCGCACCGGGTGAGAATAGCCAAAAGACTCGCCTGAACTATTCTCGCCCGGGGTGAGAATAGAGGTGGCCATAATCTAGAGGCCTATCCTCCTGACCCTGCTGTACTTGTTCTGTCACTGTGTTTCCAACTTGGCCAACTCTATTCGGACTCAAGTAAAACGAACGGTCGGTCCCACTCCGTAGTGTCGGTAGTGAACCTTTTTTTTTTGTACTGGAGAGGCGAAAAATATTTTTACATTATTATTATTCTTACCCAACTCTGCATGCTGTAAGCCACCAAGGGCCTAGGTGATTTTATCGGCCTGCGAGAGGTCAGGGGGGAGTCCTCGCACCATGCCCACATCGGGGTAGGAGCTCTATTCTCACCGGGGGGGAGATGGTGAGAATAGCGAATCATGAGTTATTCTCACCCGGGGTGAGAATAAAGGTAGCCATATAAAATATGGGTTTTATCGTACGGAGTGTCTATGTACACGATAACCGGGCAACTAGTCTCAGTATGTGTAGACTACGTAACGGTAACCGGGCACCTCGTCTCACCTAGTCTCAGTATCTACCTAACTACATAACTACATTTACGGTAACCGG